TCAGTATAGAAAGCTACCTAAAATCGCACACCCTCGAATGAAATTAAACTACATCCCATTCCATGCCAGATGATTAAAAAAAAGTGTTGCGCTGAGAATGGGTTCAGATAGCATCAAGGTTGTAGTAACTGGGGCATCCGGGCTTCTAGGCCGTGCTGTGTTGAAGGAGGTCTCTAAACGCGGCTATGCGGCAGTTGGCACAGCATTTAGCAGTGCTGGCGCTGGGCTGGAGAGGCTTGACCTTAACGATACGACTGCTGTAGCACAGTTTACGGAACTGCACCAGCCGCAGGCTGTGATACATTGCGCGGCTGAGGTGCGTCCAGACATTGTTGAACGCAATCAAGAGGCTGCAGAACAGCTAAATGTAAAAGCCTCTGGCCATCTGGCGCAACTGGCAAAGGATGTAGGTGCAATTTTTAATCTACATTTTCTTCAACTATGTCTTTGATGGCACTAAGCCGCCATACCATGTTGGAGATACGCCCAATTCGCGAAACTTTTATGGATACACAAAGTTTGCTGGCGAGCGGGCAGTACGTGCAGCCAATTCTCAGGCAGCAATCCTACGGTTGCCGGTGCTCTATGGCGCGACAGAAAATCCCAAAGAGGGGACCATCAATATTCTAGTTAGTTTGGTCCGTGGAACTAAGCCAGCAAACGTTGATAATGTACAACCGCACTTTCCGACATGCACAGATGATATTGCACGTGTGCTCCTGGATATGGTTAATATGGATGTTGGATCTAAGCACAGTCTTGTTGAAGGCGTATTTCATTTCAGTGCCAAGGAAAAGATGACGAAATATGAAATGGGCAAGACTTTTGCTTGTATCTTTGGTGTGGACATCCAAAACCAAATCACTCCCATCAATAAGGAGCCTGCGGAGCCTGTTGCATCACATCCCGAAAATTCACAGTTGTCAACCAAAGCCTTAGGGCAGGTTAGTATTAGCGTCGATTGTGTAACATTTTGCGAATGGTGGTCTATTTACTTGAAGCAGCACTAGTGGTTCTTTTTATAAAGTCATCTATGTTTTGCATTTCCAATGCAGTAGACTTGTACAAACATGTAGCGTTGTTTCAATTTTCTTGTGAACAATTGAGTGCGCAAGCAGTTTAATGGAAAGAAGCTTCGGCAAACCTCCCAATCTGTAATGCTAATTCTTTCTAGTTGTTGTCGGCGGGTATTTTTTTGTAAAACATAAAGCGCTGGTTAGCTTTGGCTGAATTTAGAAATAAATTGCTATAAAAGAACTGTACTCGTATTGACAAGCTACGGATTATCAGTTGCTTGCATTTTGCACTTGTGAAGATTCTGTTCACAGCAATCATGTTAAAATCATTTATTGAGCTGCTGTGGTTTTTTATTAGGCAACATGTCGTCAGGCATCCCACACTATGAGACTGCCTGCGACAGAAAACAGCGTGCCAGGCCAATGTTCTGATGGTCTTGCATTCTGCGTGTCGGTTAAACATGCGTGGATATGGACTTTTTATTAATTGAACCAATTTGCAGATGTTGAAACCATGTGTCGCTGGCACAGGAAAGAAAAAAAGATAAAACAAAAAGCTGACAGTAAAGAAGAATGTGTGCTTGTTTGGCGAAAAGAATAGACATTTGAAAACAATTCAGGAACAAGTGTAAAACGCTTGTGACATAGGAAACATCACACAGAGCCTATCTAATGGATAGCAGTGACAGTTGTGTAGCTGAAGATGTTACTACTGATCAATATAAGTCGACAGACTAAACAAGGCTAGAGAGCCAAAGGCTAAATAAAAATTTGCTCGTCCGCTAGCATTTAAATAATTATAGATGAGTGACAGTAGATAGATGTTATTTTAGTCTGAAGGAAAACAATGATAGTGTAAAAAAAAAAACCAGCGTCAATGTTTAAGAGCTATGATGATGTTGATAAGTTGCTTTATTAGACCCCGTAATAGAGACAACTTGGTATGGGCGTGGTCGCTCAAAAAAATAACATGAGAACTAAGACAGGTGTCTCTTCCACATCTAGTCAAATGCGCGGTTACTTGCGAAAATGTATAGTTACCTTGCTAGACAAATCCATCCATTTATACAGATACTGTCCTTGAAACGAGGTCTCGCAGCAGTGAGAAAGCATCTTCCGACCTTGATTGGAAGCTCTTTAAGGTCACAAACTTTTTGAATACTGACGATATGCGAATTGATATTACCGCAGCCGAAAACGGCACCGAAAATATAGGATTGCCTGATAATAAAATTTAAATGCGAATTCGTATTCGAAAAGTAGAAAAGAGCTTTGTCAACGTCCAAGAGCTATGTACCCTTCATAGGCTCTATCTGAAAAGCGGACAAATAATTATAGATATATGCTTATATGACTATGGAGCATTCATAGTTTGCGGACCAATACCACGGTTAAAAGGATCTCTATCAATCACTATTAATAATACATCAGATTTTTATCATAACTATATTGACATTTTATCAGAAGTGGTCCACGGATTACAGGTGAGATGGCCGAGCGGTCTAAGGCGCTGCATTCAGGGTGCAGTCTAATTATAGGCGTGGGTTCGAATCCCACTCTCATCATGCCTTTTGCTGGTTATCTGGTGAGGCAATTGTCTAGAGCATTGCAACTTGTGTACTTTTATGCAGTTTTGTCTTTATTTTGGTTGAAAAGTATACTGATATTCTATATTTTAAACTCTATGCAGGTTACTTCAATATCTAACTGTAGGCATACCCTCCTATCAAAAAAATTTTGATGTAAAAATGCATTGATTATTTTGTGAGGTTTGGACGCATCACAGGGAACGAAATGGTTTCGCGCAGATGCGAGAGGCCAGCCAACAGGGCAACCAAGCGATCAATGCCCATTCCCCAGCCAGCAGTAGGAGGCAGAGCAGATTCAAGGGCATTGCAAAAGTCAGCATCGGGTGGCGGAACCTCCTCATCGCCCTGATCGCGCTCCAGGGATTGCATGCGGAATCTCTGGCGCTGGAGATCTGGATCGTTGAGCTCCTCGTATGCATTGATAAACTCCTTGCCATTGATAAAGAGCTCGAAGCGGGCGGCAATGGTCTGATCCCGATCAGCGCACTTAGCCAGCGGGCTCATGACAGCTGGGTGACCATAGAGAAACGTTGGCTGGATGCACTGCAGCTCGATATAATGGCCAATCAACCGGTCGAGCAAGCGCGGCACAGTGTGTGGATATGGGGCGACAATATGACGCTGAGCTAGCACATGCTGTAGTGCAGAGAGGGCCTGGCCGCTCTCTAAATCAGGCAGCTCCGGAACATGCTCACGAAGGGCCTGCATAACATCGAGACGACGGAA